AAAATGTTCTCAATTATGGCTATAATAAATAAATAAATAAAAGTACGTTGCTATATTTGTATTTTTCGTGATCATTGATTATGGTGTGTTGAAACAGGAACAATTGGCGGCCTTTGATTCAAAACTCAAATTGAAGAACACTTGTGAGCCTTTATCGATTCAACATACCTGATAATTTGCCAAGTAATCCACCAAGTAATTCTCAATTCTATGTTTGTAAGCACTTAGTTAAACATTTGTAGTTGACACTTTTAATGTGTATTATTAGACACATTTAATGTATTATTAGACAATGTTCATTAGTAATATGTATTTTATTTGATACTTTTTTTTTAGGTTTATTAGTTTTATTATAATGTTATTTGTTTTGTAGTTGAATTTCAATATTATTATAAGTTTAATGTAATGAGTTTTTTCAATATTTTGGACAGAAAAAACTAGATTTTGTTATAATTTTTTACTGTTTTTTTTAAATAAAAAGTAATTAGTTACGGATTACCTACAGAAAATCCGTAGCTATTTACTTCCGTAGCAATTCCGTAGCTATTTATTCCGTAGCAATTCCATAGCTAATCCGTAGCTATAATTTAGCCACGGGCCATTATGCTACAGCCATTTTTCCGTAGCAATTCCATAGCTATTCGCTTATAGCTACGGAATAGCTACGAATTGTGCTGTAGCTATTGGACTAGTTTTCTAGTAGTGTTTAGAACATAAACACTTGAAATTAACAGATTAAAAAAAATCAGAATTTAGGGTTTTTACGTACCATTAAAAGAACTTGGGGAAGAAGCGGATGATATTGAGAATCAACTGTGGTCGGAAGCAAAAGATTCAACGGCAGCAGTCGTGCGACAATGTCGATTAGACAATGCAATGACGGAAAGTCAAATCGTCGGAGGTTGGTGGAAAATATTAGGAACACTACATCAGATGCATACGCACCCATACACACACAACTACCAACTAGTGGCCGACGGTGGTAAGAATGCACACCGTCAGCAAGAGGCTGCCGGTAGTTTGTGGTGATGCTACATCTAGCAGAAAAGAATGAGGTACAAGAAAGAAGAAGAAACATGGACATAATAGACTTACCAAACGAGTAATCTGCATTAGACCTTCTAGCCTTTCTTCTCTTCGATGGTCTCCCACAACTCCGACAGCTAGCTCCGGCGAGTTTCCCTCTCTCCCGATCTCGCTCTCTCTTCTCGCTCGTTGCTAAAGAAAGCCGCAAAAAAGAAAGAGATGTTTTAGGGTTGGAACGGAACAATATGAACATAAACGAGATTAACTCCAAGAATAGGGCGTACGTAACTAATCGCCATCACGACCCCGTCAATATGGGTTAATTTAGATTTTTGCATTGTTTACCCTAACGTTTTCCATAATGACATAAATTATCCCTCAACACAAAAGTCTTAACAAAGAAGGTTTTCAACTTCACACTTTCAGTCCCAAAACATAAAATATATCCCATTTTAGGTTTTAAATTATTTCCAAGTTATTTATTTTGTTATCATTTGTTATTAGTTAAGTTATATATATATATATATATATATATATATATATATATATATATATATATATATATATATATATGAACATTATGAAATGGAAAACGCGCGTTACATAAGGTCTTAAAATGGTAAAACATACAATCCGAACAGTCCACTTCAACTCGCTCAAAACTCAAATGGAAAGTCAATCATGGAATATTAACAATAGTTTGGGTGTCATGGAGTTTAAACACATGAAAGTTTTAACACTTGACACCTATATGAAATTTCAGCCCTAAATCAGTAGGCTCTCCTCTCGGAGGGAAAGTGTAAGGTAACTCCTTACCCCTACCTTGCCAGAGAGCAACTGACCCAGGGTTGAACCCAATTATAACTATAACTTACACTCTGTTTTCAGTTCAACTTAACGAGGGAAAGGAAATGATACGGGAATAAAGTAAAATAAATTGATGTTCCCGAATTTTATTAAAGGAGGGAAGTGGAAGGAAGTGAAAGGAAATTGAATGATCATTTTTCCTCCTAGAAGGATTTGTAGAGAAAGAACAACAAATTTAATTTTCTTTTCAATTCTCTTCAATTCGGAAACACAAAATACAAATTTTTTTCATTTTGTTTCTCTACTTTTCTCTCCTTACTTTCTTTTGTTTTCCTTTCTTTACTAAAAATCGGGAACTTGGCTTTAGTGCGGACAGAGTGGCTCGGACCCATCTATTTTGAACACTTTACACTTGACACCCTGTATGAATCCCCTATTCTAATAAATAAGAGCAATTTTTCCACGTGGCATTGTATTAGCCCGCCCCAAGCAATTTATCCCGCCTAAATTACTTAAGTGGTTTTCCCAAACTACCCTTGTGCCTCTTATTCATTCATTATCATCGGGAGACAGCAGCTCATCAATTTGAAACCCTAATCCAGTCACTCATCAATCGCTGACTCCCTCTCTCTCTAGTCAAAACCACCATTGCTACCTGTTTCTCTACTCAAGAAAATGGTAGCATCTCAACGAAAGAACATCATTTATGACGACTAAAGACTTACACACACAGTAGGTCTCTCTCTCGCTGGTTTACGATCATAAACCACCACATACCTCAAAGGAGAAGTACTTTAGGAACGCATACAGAGGGGACACAGGGGTTTCGACACTCCGGTCAAGAGAAACTCCTCAGCATATGGAAAGGTCATCTTCTTAGGCTACCATTTTTTCTTTTACCGCTTAAATTCTAGATGTCATTCAGGAATCGCTCAAAAGTTTCCTAATTTTTCTTTTCATACAGTTTGTTATTGTGTTCTTTGCTACCAAAAATCTAGCCTCCAAAATCATGAATCGATGATATTTTGAAGAGCCGGAGCCAAAAAAACGTGAATAATGAATAATGAAAGCATTGATATCAGGTTAGCTTCATCTCCAAAACCCATCTCAACATTGTCGAATTAGGTTGTTGAACATAATTTTTGAATTTCGTTTTTTGGGTTTTTTAGTTTCCATGAGCACCAACTGTTTGACCAAATGCCTCAATGAAGATTCACGTTCTATTTATCTATAATCTGATTTCAAATTATTGGTTGTAAATCCATGTAATGAGGCCATTCATCAAAACCTTTTCTTATAATAGTCATAAATATTGAAGAATGTTGAATAGTTGGTCACAAAATAGAAACAAGGGGAGAGGTATGGAGAGATGTATGGTGGGATAGAGCATACAAATGAGTTAATGAGTTTAAATCGAACATTGAAATTTTTCGAAATCATTTGCATATTGAAATAGACTGGAAAGAGAAATTAGAGTAAACATAAAATTTAAATGAGTTTAATTCAAAATTTAATTTAATTTTTAATTTTTTAATGTTTAATTTTTTTGTAAATTACAGTTGTTCAAATTTGTGATTATTTTTTGTTGAGGCGGGTTTAGGGGGTGGGTGGAGAAGAAACAACTACAAACTTCTTTTTTGTCCCAAAAACTAAAAAAAATGATCATCAAATGTGTGCAGTTGTATGCAGCTCACAATTTTTTTCCAAAACTTACCAAGAAAATAGTATCTTGGATCACTGTTAATTGAAAAGACGGTTGGACATTTTTGTCCCTGATAACTAGAAACATATTTTTAAGTTTTGACTAAGTAAATCTCATTCAATTGTCATGGATCGATTTTAGTTGAAAGATTGAAAATTTTCCTTGGTTTATTCAGTTTCAGTTTTTTAAGTAAATACCTTAGGGTTTATGATCGTTTCAATAATATCGCTTTCTTCCTTTCTCTTTGTAGTTTCTACAAAAAAATGCAGTTTAATTGATTTTTATGCTGGTCTTTTGGTATTATATTGTATTGATGAAAACTTTTTGTTGAGTAGAACCCGGAAGGATGCCAAGAAGAGATCGCATGGTAATGAAAATTATGATCCAAGAACTCTATTCTTGCCTCCTGACTTTTTGAAGAGTTTATTAGGTGGCCAGGTAATTGGTCCTTTTTGGTCACAAGTGATTAAATTGTATTCAATTTACAAGTAATTGAAACAGTATGCTTTTTGTTGAATATAGAGACAATGGTGGAAGTTCAAGTCGCAACATATGGATAAGGTTCTATTTTTTAAAGTAAGTTATCTATCTAATATTGACATAAGATCTGCAATTATCAAATATTTTTTCTATAGAATGCGCTTTTCTTAGTTGCTAACTCCATGTAACTAATCAAATGAGAAAATTTTACGAGCCATTCGAAATGGATGCATATGTTGGAGCAAAAGAATGTGAATAGTCTTGGGATGGTTTTGGTGTTTTTGAAGGATAAGGGTATTTTGGTCATAAAGTAAAAATACATGAAAAAAGAATTCAATATTCATAATATTTCTCAAATTTTTGAGTTATTTGAATAAAATGATACTAAAACTGGAATTTTTGATATTCAAGGGCCAAAAGATAGAATAATTTGGTTTGAAATTATAAGCGTAATAGCATTATAGTTTGCTATTATGATTTTTAGAAGTTGAAATTTTATTTTTAAGTGGCATAATTTGGTATGTATTTAAACTAGAATGATTTAGGATTTTTTTTTTTTGAAGTTCAAGTTAGCTTTGACACTTTTAGGACGAAATGGGGCATTTGGCTCTCGTAGTACACATATTCAAAAATCAAAATTAATTACAATGATTTTATATAATTTGGGTATTTTCTATATGCTTGAACTTAAATAGTCATTTTTTTAGTTTTTTTTTAGAAAAGTTTTCTTTTGATCTTAGTTTCATCAAAACGTTTGTGATTGTGTGGTATGGGTTTCAGTATTAATTAGAAATCATAGATGAAAGCTGAGAATTTTTTTTAAGAATAAATATGATTGAAAAATAAAATTTATTTTACCCCTGACGGGTTTTACACCTATACTAAATATATTGTCGTATATTAAAGTGTATATATATATATATTAAAGTGATATGATTAGCAATCAAATAAAATACAAACCGTCTAAATATAAACAATTAAACATTTATACGTTGGGGTTTTCTGGGTACTCCTCCACAGGAAAATTGGTCTTGGCCTTGTTTCCTCTGTAATGAATGTTGGCGACGTCGTAAGCTCTGGCGGCTTCTTCTGCAGTCTGAAAAGTCCCCAGCCACTTCCGCTCATGCGTCCCGGGAACCATTATCTCCGCCGCCCATTTCCTGGACGGCCGGAGACGAACTCCTCTGTAAACCTTCTTCTTCGTTCCTTTTTCCATCTCTTCTCCACCACCGCCGGTGAACATTTGACACCCTAAACAGTGTTCGGGTATTCGCATTCCACATTCCCCGCAGATTTCATACTCCACTGGTGACGGCAGATTCTGAGAATTTCCGATTACATCACTGCTTGGAGTGGCGATGTTTCCGCTGCAAATGACAACTGGAGTGCTGAAACAATGGCGGAATTCTCGTCGTCGAAATTGATGGAGGGATTATCCATTTTGCGTGATAAACGGTTAAAGTTGTTTCTTGGCGCCCTAATATAATTGCGATTGCGGCGGATAAATATCGAAGCTCACGTGTTAAATTCAGTTAACGCCATTATATTAATCATCATTTTTCCTTTTTCCTTATAAATTTACGGCCTCTCCCAACTAGATATTTGCTACTTAAGTGATGTGAAATATGAATTGGATTTTTGATAGAGCTTTTGAGTTTTAATTTTCAATAATTGTGTGTTTTTTTTTCTGTGGCATTTTGTTAGTCGTAATTCTTGGTTAACAAGATTGTATTTATTTATTTGTTTTATTATTTGTTTTAATAGTTATATGATGGACCCTCGATATATTCGATTTGAATCGGTCACTGGTCAGCGCCGAGGATGTTAGTGAGGACTGATAACAACGTAGACTATTTGAAGTCTGTGGTTTGCCTATTGTTGTATTATAAATTATTAGCTTTTTTTGTTTGAAGTTTTTACACAATCAGTCCTTATAGTGTAAATTTTTAGATATATTATAAAAGTAGTTGAACTTTTCTTAAACATGAAGTAGTTTGATATGTTTTATATGTATATAATTTTGAAAGCTTTAAATTTATAACCATTATCTATTTGACTAAACTAAAACACAAGTTAGGCATTGTACCTAGTCGCATGGTAGTGTAATAAAGTAAGTACGTGGTCGATCACTGGGAATGAAGTTAATTTGGAAATTAAAATTGCTCAAATTTAATCTAATTATTAAACTAAAAACTAATGAAATGAGAGATTTTTATCTGATTTTTGCAAGTTCAGAAAAGCTTAATTAACTATTAACTAGAAAGCAACTAAAAACGAGTTTTAATCAGAGATTTAAGACACACTTTTAGCTTCGAATCCTCTTTCTTTTCCTATGAGTAATTTCGACTATGGATTACTTTTGTTGGTTACCAAATTTAGAATCACTAGTTGTCATGATCAAACTAACCAGCTTACATCAATTTATGACACTTAATCACAATGGTTATGTAGACTAAGGACACTTAATTGATTTTATTGAATATTTGGACTATGAATGACTAGATCAATTTGGACAAAAGAATCAATTATTATGGTCAAAAAATGTTCTCTAACACAATTAAGCAACTAGCTTTATTACATATACTAGGACATGGTCAATCTCTAGCTTTAGTGATTTAATGGTCATAAACAATTAGGAATACAAATTCTTGTAATTAATGGCCGGTTAACAACACAGAATTTAAGGGCAAGGTAATAGAGATAGAAACATTAACATGCAAGGATTGATCTAGCAAACACAAGTAAAGACCAACATTAATAATGCATAGATCTAATATTAACTCTTAGTAAATTAATGTTCATCAACACTAAACGAAAACTAAGTGTATTAGCCCATGATTGTCATAGAAAAACAACTAAACAAATAGTTAATTAAACTAAACATCATGCAAACCGAATGCTTGAGTTGATTTCTTGCTAGTTACTCTTCTTCTCTCTTCCTCTTGATCGAAATCAGGTCTTCTAGGGTTTCTCCAGAAGTATTCTCTCTAAAATTCCCCTCTTTCTTGGCCTTCTAATTCGTCCTTTATGTAGGAGGAAAACTTACCATAAATTGGCCACCATGTTGTGGCCCAATGCTTGCCACGCCGTGGAAACAATTTCCATGTCGTATTCGGCCAGGTAATCCTCTTTAACCGAGAATCTTCCATACGCCATGGTGTGGGCCAGAGTTTACCACGCCGTGGTCACTATTCTGAAACACACTTTGAGGTTTATTTGTTTCATTTTTGCATTCTTCACAACCCATGTAACGTCCACGTTTCCTGCTAGATTAGTCATACTATGTAATCACTTTGGTCAATTGTTGTAATCTTTATATGAATGAATAAGAAAGGATTATTCATATATTTATATGCTTATGTGTTTTATAGGATATTTTGCGTATTTAATAATAGAATAAATAAGATTAAAATACGCATCAAAGATAAAAAATTACTTAGGACAAATAATCTTAACCTAGTTGTAGTATACGTAATAAGGGCCTCGGCGATATAAGGATCGTTCAAATCCGACTTCATATGAAGAAGTTATGTTTCTTCGAAGTTTTGCGATTTAACCGGTACAACTCTACGTTTCGTAAAAAGTCAACATTTTGATAAAAACACTTTTGAGCTTAATTAATCTAAACGAAAGTCATAGTAATCGTTAAACCAAGAGAGTGTATATAGAGAACGCCTAAATCTGACTTCGTAAGAGGACGTTATGATTTTTCTATGATTCAGCATAATAGTATACAACTCAAAATCAAATTTTAGATCGGTCGATTTTTAGCCAAAATAATCTAAACGAGAGTTGAAGATCTCGTTAGTAGGAGTCCAACGATATAAATTCTATCGAAAACGGACACCCGATGAGAGAGTCATGTTTTTATACAGGCTTTAACAGCCTAAGCATGTGCGAAAAATATAAAGTCAAAATTAGCCAATGGAGTATAAACGAAAGTTGTAGATCTCATCGAGAGCTTTACGGGGGTATAGAAACGTCAAAACCAAAGTCCGTATGAAGAAGTTACACAATTTTGAAAATCTAAAAGTCGGTACGCGCATACGCGACGCACAGAAGGTTCTAGAAGTTGTTACGCAGCCCCACCCAATTCGTGCCACGTGTTTGCATGCCTAAGGATCCATGCCACCATAGTGCACAACATGCATCCTAAGATTTCCTCCTATAAATACCAGTCAGTCCCTCTTGTTATTTCCTCACCCCGACACCCGATTTTCTCGAGTTTACCCTGTTTTAGCCCCTTTTTTCTTCGTTTATGTTCTACGGCGAACCCCTTCCATGCCCCTGAGTACTCATCTAAGTAGTAGCCTTCATGTAGGAGATCCCGAGTTAGTATTTTACCCGCTTAGATCCCGGTTCTCATCAATAGTACTCTGTAAGTGAGCTACGCTTATTCCGCCTCTGTGTAATTTATAATTATAGTTATAATCCGTTACTGGGAACTTATAATTAAGATTTATCAATGATCCCAAGTCATTATACTGATTGATCTACTTACGGGAGAGGTTCGTTGAATGGTCGCATCTTCTTGGTTGTTGGATTTCAGAAAAGTTATATGCTAAAATGGTCCTGCCTCCCGATTGTCTTGCCTGGCTGATCCTTACTTGATAGATATTGAAGTATACTTTGGAATTATTTAGGAATCTAAACTCTTAGGATAATAATTCATAAATCATGAAATTAGACTAAGACTTAGTGCTATATACATCTAGGTCTTTTGGAAAAGGTGTAAGGCGAAGCTCTGCCCGATTCACCAATCACCAGACACTTTGTCAGGTGAGTGCGCAGTTATTATTAAGAACATAATCTTAATTTAAAAAGTATTAATACTATCAAGTAATATTAAATGTTTAGCTGTATTTTCTATGCTATGTGCTATTTGTATAAACATGATAATTGGATTAGAAACTATATTGGGTATCGATTGTCTTTAGTTATAAGTCTCGTCTTAGGTTTAAGAATAAGACTTGTAAGGTTGCTTAGTTCAGATTAAGCTTAATATCAATTAGCTCTCATAGTTGGCATAGAATGTGAGATTAGAATGGAGTGAAGTCCTCATCTTTCTTGGATGACCAGAAATGGTGGGTCCATATCAGGCAACTAGCAAGTATGTCTGGGTCATCAACTAGAGTAGAAGACAACACTTGCCTATTCTAGGCAGTCTTATGTTGCAAGCATGGAGTTATAACCCATGGACGTAGATAAAGCGGGATACCATATTTATCAAATATCTGAAAATTGGTTGGCTTATATGACTTATACTGGCCAAGGACACCCCTAACTGTGTAGTCAAACAGTTACTCAGACAATTCATCAGGTACGGTGATTCTTCCAAATGATTGTTGAATTAGGATCTGTGATGATCGATTGAGTTGGGTAGTTGGTGTTAGGTCAAATTCTATATACACTTATATTATCTGATAACCTTGTTCTGCAGGATTGATATTATTTATTACCATTAAACTATTATGGGCTTCAAAATCCTACGTATCTCACCAGGTTTTCCCAAACCTGAACCACTCATTTTACGCATCACGGGCCGCGGATGTAAGGTTATCGAATTCTAGTTAGGATGTTGAGTAGAATAAAGATATGTTCCTGTAATAAGTAGTTTCAAGACCTTTTATATTTTATGTTGTGATGTATGTTTGGATATGCACGAATGACATCCTTAAGGTTTTAATAAAATAACTTTTGTTATTTTAAAATGTTTTATTTAACTGTGAAATTCCGCATCTCAGTTTACAAAGAATAAAGAAAAATGTTTTAATTGGTTTTGAAAAATGGGGGATGTCACACTCCAACTTCCACTTTTTGTCCATTTTGGTCATTTTTCTTCAAAAAATGTCTTTTTCTGGCTGAAATATGAAATTTATGCAAATAACTACCAAAAGTCCTTGTGTTTAAACCAAAATATGACTAAAATACAATGAAATAACTCATAAATATATGTATACCCCACAATTGTCTTTTGCTTGCCCCCAAGCAAAACTTATTTTAATACATCACATAGAACATTGCCTACCAACATCACACAAAACAATCCTAATTGAACACATCACCTCAATGCATGTATTTGTGTCTAAAACCTAGTTACTTCCCAAGATCTAAATACTCACAATCTTCATAAACGTTTCCCACTTATTTTGAACAACATTCATTTTATGCATCCCTTCGAGTATATCCTCATAAGACTTTCTTAACCTCAAGGTATTATTTTAAGTTCCCAAGCATACATATGATGAAATAACCTAGAAAGAAAAATTACAACTTTGAATAATACGCCTTCGACTTTGGCAATTTTTCCTTGTTCTTCACTTTCTTCAACTTGAATTTACAATATTTGAAGCTTTGAACTTATCTTCATAATTCTTGATTTTTGTACCTTGTAAGCTCTTATTCACTCAACAAACATTTGCAACTTTTTTTCTATTTTTTTTATCAAACTAAAAACCTAAAACAACACATATGCTTAAGCAAAGGAACTTAACTTTAACTCTTATTGGTTGAAGGTATTAGTCTAAAGTGCAATGAGTACATAAGCTTTCCTGGATACATTTCTGGTACACAGTGCTAAACTTTTTATATCCCTCAATCTATACAAGGTTGTGTTTTTGTCTCATGATTTCACTAGGACTGGGAAGCCACAAATACACTATAACATATTGGCTCAACTAAATCTTAAAGTTCACATCGAATCATCCCGCATAACACTAGAAAACTAGTCATAATTCAATAATATCAAAATTTTAAATGTAATAGATTTTTAATATTAGAGTATTTTTGCAAGCTTATTAATTTTAAATTTCTAGCATTTTTCAACGTTTATGCACGAAAATCCTTTTTTGACCCCCTACCCCACACTTAGTTCATATAATGCCCTCATTGTATGCAAAAGATAATAAAAACAATAAAGAAAAGAAAAAAAGGAACAGGCTCCCCTAGGATAGTAGTGGCGAGATCGAATCGATAGTTGTGGGATAAATATCATCATCTTTATCTTGTAAACTGAAAAATGGAAGGATATTCCTTTGTAATATGTCGACATTTGATTCAAGATTACCATCGTTCAAAATATGGTGTGTAGGATTGCAAAAAGTTGCAATTAGCAGAATCTATTACGCGGGAAAGTGTGAACCACGTAGGATAATATTAAAATATTTTCCGAATAAGCAATCACCCACAATTATGAAAAACCACGGATCTATATTTCTACTCTCTCTCTCTCTCTCTGTCGGCTAACCTCTCTCTCATACGATATTTTATAATCCGCACAAACAAAATTAGACCAAATTTCTAGAGTAAACTAAAGGAACAAACTGCATCATCCAGTTTACACGTCAAACACAAAACAAAACAAAATAAAATGTCAAAAATAAAAGGATAGCAATCATTCGTCCTCGTCATCACTAGGTCCTCAACACGTTCATTATCATACATCATTAACTCCCCACAATTCCTCCCAAGTCGGAATTGTGGTGGCATGTCAACTGGCTTTTCGATCTTAAAGTGTAAAAATAAATTATCCACAATGTCCCATGTAGTTCACTCCTCCCCTCAAATTGTCTAAGTACAATCCAACTTTCTTGTGAAAAGGGTCCACCGGGATTTCTTGTTCTTGAGGCTTTCGCTTCTTTTTGTTCCTTCCTTCAAATTGCTTTGTTTGAACTCCAGATTCTTCAATCATCCTAATCGGATCATCTATTAGTACCGAATAATGACTGTCTCCCATGTCGCAAACGATTATGTCTTCTACAAAATATTGGGCAACAGTAAACACCCTTCAGTCCTTCAAAGCATCTCAGCTACTGGTTCTTCCAATATCCTACAAGATCGAGCTAAGTTTGTCATTAAAGAACCTCCACAAATAGGTGCTCTAGAATGCATATTTGTTTCTTTCTCAGAAAGAAATAAAGCCAAATGATATGGAATATTATAAGATATTCCCGAATTCAGAATGTGTCATGAGAAGAAAATATCTCTCTTGAACTCTATCCTCAGATTCCCTTTGATTGATAGAAAAGGCGATCATCTTGTGAATGAATTTTTGCGCTGGAGATTTTATAAGGCTTGTTGGAGTGTCATCTTTGTTGTATGTACCATTTGCTAAACAAAACCAAAGGTCTTGAACAAATAGTTCTTTTGGTAGATCA